GAGCAGCAAGGTGTGTTTGTTTGCTAATAACTGACAGCAGACTGGCAAGTCCGCATTCTTTTAAAGGTTGCCAACTTTAAAAATCTTTACAAAAAAGGTCTGCTTGCTTGCCTTGCAACTCTTAACTTGTTACAAATTCTTTTTTTATTATTATTGTCGCAGTTGTTGTTGTTGTAGTCGTTTTTGGTTTATAAGTAAATTAAGTTTTGGTTCGTATGCTTGCATTTTTTTCTGTTGTTGTTGCTTAGATTACGTTCGTTTTCTTTCGGGGCATTCTTTTGTGAAAAACGCATTCAAAACTCCACTCACATACTCTCACAACTACAAAAATGTAGGCGTGCAGCAAAAAACAACAAAAAATAGCCGGCTTTTGCATATTTTACTCTGCTTCTCTTTTTATGGTTTAGTTCTGGAATTTGTTTTTGTTGGTTTTAAGTTGCAATTTGACTAGAATTGTAATCAGGGATGGAAATTTATTCTTAAAACTAGACCTGGGGAAGATTTTTGAAAAGGACTTTGTTGCAAGTTGAGGCCAATGGTAATTTTAGTTTAGTTCTAGTTCAGGTCAAGTATCTGTTCTAGTTAATACCAGCTCAGTTTTAATTCAGTTCTAATCTAGTTCTATTCTTGTTCAATTTTAGTTCTAGTTCTCCACTAGTTATATTTTAGCTCAGTTCTAGTTCAGTTCTAGTTCAGTTCTGGTTCTGTTCTAGTTCAGTTCTAGTTCAGTTCTAGTTCAGTTCTAGTTCAGTTCTAGTTCAGTTCTAGTTCAGTTCTAGTTCAGTTCTAGTTCAGTTCTAGTTCAGTTCTAGTTCAGTTCTAGTTTAGTTCTAGTTCAGTTCTAGTTCAGTTCTAGTTCAGTTCTAGTTCAGTTCTAGTTCAGTTCTAGTTCAGTTCTAGTTCAGTTCTAGTTCAGTTCTAGTTCAGTTCTAGTTCAGTTCTAGTTCAGTTCTAGTTCAGTTCTAGTTCAGTTCTAGTTCAGTTCTAGTTCAGTTCTAGTTCAGTTCTAGTTCAGTTCTAGTCTAGTTCAGTTCTAGTTCAGTTCTAGTTCAGTTCTAGTTCAGTTCTAGTTCTAGTTCAGTTCTAGTTCAGTTCTAGTTCAGTTCTAGTTCAGTTCTATTTCAGTTCTAGTTCAGTTCTACTTCAGTTCTACTTCAGTTCTAGTTCAGTTCTAGTTCAGTTCTAGTTCAGTTCTAGTTCAGTTCTAGTTCAGTTCTAGTTCAGTTCTAGTTCAGTTCTAGTTCAGTTCTAGTTCAGTTCTAGTTCAGTTCTAGTTCAGTTCTAGTTCAGTTCTAGTTCAGTTCTAGTTCAGTTCTAGTTCAGTTCTAGTTCAGTTCTAGTTCTAGTTCAGTTCTAGTTCAGTTCTAGTTCTGTTCTGGTTCTGTTCTCGTTTTGTTCTCGTTCTGTTCTAGTGCTGTTCTAGTTCTGTTCTAGTTCTGTTCTACTTCTGCTCTAGTCATGTTCTGGTTATGTTCTAGTTGATTTCAGCTTTACATCCCTGCCTGAACAATTTATGTTAGGAATTTGTAATTATTGGTCTTTGGTTTCGTTATATATCTTGTTATTTGTTTGCCTTTTTCACTCCTAGTTTAAAATTTTTTCCCATTTTTTTTCGTTGGTCTGCGCTGCGCTGTCTCATGCATAAGGAATTTAATTTTTCTCGTATATAATTGATAAATGCTTTAAGACATTTAGAGCAGCTCCTGGTTATTACACACAAATTTTTTTGCAACATTCGTTAACTTTAAAATGGGCTTGTTAGAGTTTTGTGTCAATAGTTTTTTTTTTTTATTTTTGCTTTGGCTGGTTTCAATGTATATTTTTCCTTTAGAATTTGTGTTTACAGCAATTGCCTGGCCTAAGTAGTAGAAATATTTTGAAAGGATTGTTTTTTATGGGTTTTTAATTAATTTAAAATGATTTTTATAGATTCTGAGAAGATTTAAAGATCATAAGATAAATGAATTCATAGCTACTAGAGCTGTGGTGAAATTATGGAAGAAAAAATGGGGAAAACATTTAAATTGATTTTAATTAAAGCAAAGCAATAGAAATAAAGGACTTTTTATGAGTTTGGAAAAATTTAGTAAAAACCATGGGAGATCTAGGGCTAATTTTAAAAGTTAATGAATGTTTGAAGCAAATAATTACCCTGAACTGCAAAAAATTTATTAAATTTAAAATAAGGAAATTTTATTTATAATTATATGAAAATTGAAAAAAAAAAAAACATTTCTTTATTTAATTTGTAATTCAATTCAAATCTATTGTATTACATGTGATATTTGTAATTTCAAACAAAAACTAAAAAATGTTAACAACTAATTGTTAATTTATACATTTGAAAATAATAACAATTGTAGAAAAAAAAACTAAAATCTTTTAGTTGCAATATTAGTTTATTGCCATTTTATAAAAGCCACTAGAGCAAATAATTGCTTAAAACATAAAAAATATTGAAATTGAAAAAATTCAGCTACAAAATAAATAACCACAAATCGAAATGGAAAATTAGAAAAAAAGGAAGCAGAAAACTTGCAAGTTTTCACTTTAATACACATATTTTTTTCCAACATTTTCTTGTTGTGGTCATCATTGACTACAATTTTCAAATTTCCATAAAGTGTAACGGTCAACTTGAATTTTTATTTCTTATTCCACATTTCTTTATTACTTTTTTTTGTTTTGTTTAAGAGTTTCTTTTGTGTAAAATGTGTTATTACTGGGTGACTTACATTTTTTATTTAATACTATTTTGTTTTTAATGGAAAACAATTACATTTTGTAATTATTTTTTTGTGTGTTTTCTTTATACTTTCTTATTAACTAAACCAAACCGTTAAGTTGAATATTTAAACTAATTTTTTTGCAGTTTGTTTTTTATATTTATAATTTATAAAAAACCAACTAATGTGAGAAAATTTGTGTTTTTTATGCAAATTTGTTTATAAGACAGGTTTAACACTTCTTAATGAAAATATTTTGCTTTGTGGGAACATTTTTTTAAAATAAAACTTAGTATAAATTAAGCATTAAGAAAGCCTAGCTGTAAGTGTGTTAAACTACATATAATAAGCCTATCATTTAAAACAAACTGTAATTAAATTTTTTAATTCATTGAAGTTTTTTCTAAACTAATTTAAATTATTAGTGTGAAAATTTTAAGTAATTTTTAAACCACCCTCGTATATTTATTTAAATAATTTGTTTCCAAATTTTATCAGCTTTCCACAACATTTAAAATTTCCGAAATTGGTCTACTACTTTTGGAGTTATTGGTATTTTTCTAAAATTCTCTACAATTAATATTAATCATACGCCCTATTTGACAATTTTAATAAACTTAATAATTTTAAGCTTAGCAAGGTTTTAAAAGAGAATTTAACTATCAATTCGTTTATAGTTAAATATTTATCATATTTTAAGCATATTAAAACTTTGCACAGTGGGTCTTAAAAAAGAGAAGAAACAAGTGAAAATTGAAATTTATGAAAAATTTTTAATTAATAAAAACTTAAGTTTTAAAGGCGCTAAATAATATAGGGATGGACTTGTAACTATTAACATTTTGTTGTATAACCAAGAATCTCTAAAAAAGTGAAATTTTTAACAATCTTATGATGTCCGTATATCCGTATGACTGTTGCACCAAAAGCTTTCCAAATACCGAGATCTCTTACTACTTCTTGAAGCTATTAAAAGTCTTCTAAGAACCTATAACACTTAGGGGCAAACTTATAAAATCTATAAATCTATTATAACATCCATTTAAACAATCTAACCAAGTCCGTCTGTCTGGTAGAATTTTGAAAAAACTGATTTGAAAATGGCCATAATTCTTGTAGACATTTAGAGTTTTCAGAACCCTCGATAACAAAAGTACAACTGAAAGTTAGTTAAGGATTTGAAATTGATTGAATAGGATTTATTTTAACGTCCCAGCAATGTCCATCTCTGTGTTGCATCCATTTAAACATTCTAGCAATGTCCGTCTGTCTGAGATTAGCTTGAGATCAACATTTCTAGGGCCATATATATTTTAAAGGCCCATATTTTGGATCAATTTATTAAACACATGTACGAGAATCTCGCTATTAAAAGTTAGTAAAATTGTTCTATAAATAGCTGGGTTATAAGCCATGAACAAAATTAATTTTTATAATTTTTTTGAAATATATTTGTATGTGTAAGTCAAATCAACAACAAATTTAATGGTTTCAATTAAACTTCCATAATGTTCCTAATTATTTTGTTATTAAAATAGAACGTTCGATGGATTTTGCAAAAAAATGAGGTGGAAAATATTATATAAAACAGTTTTTAACAAATCAAATATAATATAATTTTTTTGGGCAATAAATTATTAAAAACTCATTAGATTGTTAAATATGTATAAATAAACCTTCAAAAAAACCTTTTAAAATTTTGCATTTGTATTTGCAATTAACACCTGCAAATTGTGCAAAAAGAAAAAATAAAACTAAAAATACCAGAAAAACATTCTTTAGCGTAATAAATATTAACATAATACTAAGATAAGCGGACAGACAGACAATAATATGTTTTGCATACAAAAAAAAAAAAAAAACTAATAATAATTACAAGCTTAGTATATAAGCAACACCATTTCCAACACAATTCCGAACAATTTTTAACTAAATTCAAAATTTTTTTAATATTTAAAAATTTTTTTGTTGTGTTAAAGACATTTTTTTCAAACTTAAAATTTGGTTTAGATTTTTTTTAAAATTCTTTAGTAAATGATGTAATATTCATTGTTGCAATTGTTTAAGCAGAAGTAGAAGTGTTACTTTTTCATTTCTGTTTAATACCTCTATTGAAAATGTCATGTTAAATTACTCTAAACACTATAATTATTTAACTGTCAATCAATTGTAAATATTTTAAATTTTTGCCATAAAAATTATGTATTATTATAGCAATTATTTTTCCTATAATTATTCTTATTTGTAATGTAATTTTTCTCTTCTTTTTTCTAGATTATGTTTTCTATAACAGAATTTCGCAATATCGTTAAGCTGTATTAGGAAAGAGTTCGGTGAGAACTTTTTGCTTAAATATTTATACCGAAAGCATGCGCCTATTTAAGACGCGCAAATCCATAGATACTTCTCAAAATCCCTTGGCATCGGATAGTCAAACCTCTAATCATTCACCGGTAGCAACATGTGCCTCGAAATTTACCAAATCAATAAGTGGTTCTTCTACCATATCATCGTCTTTGCCCGATTTGCACGATAATTCACCCGTTATGATTTTAAGTTGCACGAATTTAAGTACCAGCGGTACTCCAAATATAGCAGTTTCCTCTTCAGCTCATACTACACCGCCCAAGAGTAATGATTCCCTGTCGCCGCAACAATGTTCTACACCCGGTATACACTATCAAGCTGCTCAACAAAATCTTAATTACTCGCATAGCGGTAGGCAAACCCCTTCGGCTTTATCTGTGGCCTCTTTAAATGATGCTGTTCTACAGAGACCGGCCAGTGTGCATATTTTTAATCATAAGGCCAATTCTTTATTGTTAAATTATGGTGGCAGTAGTAATGATATAACCGGTCCACCAAATGGTCAATACCAAAAGTATTCTCAAAGTACAAATAATGGCACAATATCGCGAGGTTTGTTGGGGCAACATCATCGTAATACCTCTTCTTCGAGTAGTTGTATATATGAAAAGTCTAATGGTGCTGCTGGAGCAAGAAATTCGATTGGTGGCAGTTTGAATATAACACCGAATGGTTGTAATAGCAAACAGAGTAATTCTTTGCAACTAATGGGTTCGAATGGTAAGTTTGCTAGCTAGTTTTTATATTAAAAGCTTAAAGCTTTAAGAAAAAGCTTTTTTCGTTTGCGTTTAAATCCAAAGCTTTATGTTTAGTTATAAAATCTACTTTTATATTAAAAGCTTAAAGCTTTAAGATAAAGCTTAAAAGCTAATAGAACAACAATTCTGAGATAAGTTTTCCGACAATTATTTTACTAAAATAAAAGTTTTATGTTTTTAAGAGCTTTTTTAGTTTGTTGCTTACCATTAAAAGCTTTAAGCTTTATATAAAAAGCTTGAAATAAATTCAATTTAAGCTTTAAACGAAACAAAAATCAAGATTTTACTTTTCATATCAAAAGCTTAATGCCAATGTTTTCGTTATTAGATGATTTTTTGGAATTTCATCCAAATGACTAGTATTTTACTAAAATTAAAAGCTTTAAGCTTTTTAGAACAGCAATAGTTTTTGACTAAAAATTTTAAAATTTCAAGGAGAAGCTTATGCATTTTCGTTTTCAAAGTTTAGATGTGGAACCTACTTTTAATTGATGATCTAAACTTTATGATTTCGATTAGAAATGTATTAGAATTTAAAGCTTTATGTCAAAGCTTCATATCTAATGATTAATTATAAGGGAGTAAACATTGTTGGAAACTACATTTAAAAGCTACCAGCATTAAAAGTAAAATTTAAAGCTTTTAGTCTGATGTCGGAGTGCCTGCTACAAAAGTTTGTAGCGCAAAGCTTCGCATCGCTTGTAGCAGGCTCTCTGACATCAGCCTAAGTAAAATTTTAGAACTGGAATCTGCTTTTAATATTAAAAGCTTTAGCATAACATCTAATGAGCATAACATGTATGTACATAACATCTTATGTACATATTTTGAGAATACGTTTCAGAATTTCAACCAATTAAAATATAAAGCATTAAAAAGCTTAAAGATTAAGTTTTAAGCAAAGCTTAAAATTGGATGTTACTTTTAGTGCTAAGAGCTTTAAAGCTTTAAATCAATTTTTAGTTATTTACACTAAAATAAGATCCTATTTATTGGACTAACAAACGAACATGAAGAATCCTAAGAAGCTTTTTCATCTGTTTGAGCTTTTTTCCTCCATATACTAAACTTTTGATACTAAAAAGCTTTATTTCTTTAATCACACCATCAAAAGTATTTGAACCAGAACAATTTTTGATCTCATCTTATATAGTTAAGGCCATCGATAATTACTTTTTTATAAAAATAACTTAAAAACCTTGCATGTCTTAAAACAATTTCAATTTTTTAAATTCTAAACACTTGCACTTACTTCTCTATAACTAAACTGTGATATCAGCAATGATAGATAGACAATTAAATTACCAACAATTACCAAACAGTAGTAGACTAATAACACTTGTAAAGGAAAAACATGTTTGAAAATTTTTATTTATGTAAAAAAAACGACATTTTATTACAAATTTCAATTCAATTATACTCATTTACCAAGAAACGTTTTAAACTTGTACAATTATTTATAAACCACAAGCAATTAGTTGTATCTTTTAGATTTAAGTTAGTTTCCCAAATTATTTCAGAATTTTGCAAGCACAATATTTGTTTAGTTAATGAATTACATAAGTAATACTTATTATTAGATTTAGCTGTAGTGGCAGGTTTTAAATGATATTCATTGACATTATCATTTAAATTGTGGGGGTAATTAATTAAAATTTCCAAATTGTTACAGTTCGATTTCAAAATTAATTTATTTTCAATTAAATAAGATAACCATACAACATTATGGTTTACTGTTGAACTTAAACTAAACAAATTTTCTTGGTTGCCAGTTAAAAACGAAAGTTTTTCTTCATGTTGCAAGCTTAAGCAAAGTTTTTCACTGAAGACTAGTTGTAAAATATCGTAAGGTAGACTTTGTTTGAGATTAATTAAACCTAGTTTGATCTTATTATCATAAAAACATGTTTGTTGTAATATCAAACGTAAGCTTAAAGCTAATTTGTAATACAACATTGCACTTAAAGCTTTTTGAGCTTTAAGCTCTTTAAAAAATTCTATAAAATATATAATTTTTGTTTTATTTAAATGGTTTTGTAAATTTAAACGTTTTAATAATTTTGAGTGTAAAATTATACCATAAGTTTTATTTAAACTAAGTTTAACTGTCTGATATAAAACATCCAATGGCAAGCTGCTTAAATCTTTAGTTAAGTTTTCAAAATTTTGAAAATTTTTATATAAAATAAAAGCTTTTAAATCCAAAGCTGTTTTTTCTATAATAAGATATTCGAGATCTTTAAAAAACTTTTGCATACTTTTAAATTCCCTTAAATTTAAGTCCAGCTTTAAAGCTTGCCATAACTGTATGGCTTGTGTTTTATCTAAAGCTTCTTGCCATTTATAGTGGTTTTCATTAATAAGCTCAAAAAACATTAATTTTATTAAGGTCTGCTGTTCTAGTGTTAATAATTTTAAGCTGATTCGGTATAAATTTTCTATTTCCGTTATATTTTTTAAAATCAAAGCGGCTTGTTGTAACTGCTGTTTATGCAATTTATCCATAAATGTATCCACTATAAGACTACTGCTATTGTTGTTGTTTAAAAAAGCAGAGCTATCAGCAAATAACCCAAAAATTATCAAGAATTTTAACATATTTTTATTTAATTTTATAAATTAAACAAAAAGAGAAATATTCTTGAGCCAGCAAAGTGTAAATTAAAACTGATATAAAAATTTAAATTGTTGTAGAAGTCAAATGTTTCTTTTTCGTTTTAAAAATAACTCAATTTTAATCTTGTTGTTTGCTTTTGAATTTCATTAACAGTTCAATTACCCGATTATAAGCTGGTCACTGCTGTACCAGTGGTGGTTTTAGATGATGAACAGAAATCAATAATATCTACCACCTCCAACACCTCTACCAGTACTACAAATTCAATAGCCAGTACGGCTACAAACAGTGCTAGAAATGGTAAGTTTTCTATTAGAGCACTATAGCTCTTAAATGGACTCTAAATAGGTCTGAAACACTTTTTACAAATAAATTTATAATAATTTTATCGTTTTTAAAGATTCTAGTCTATAGTCTAGTCTATAGTCTAGTCTATAGTCTAGTCTATAGTCTAGTCTATAGTCTAGTCTATAGTCTAGTCTATAGTCTAGTCTATAGTCTAGTCTATAGTCTAGTCTATAGTCTAGTCTATAGTCTAGTCTATAGTCTTGTCTATAGTTTAGTCTATAGTCTAGTCTATAGTCTAGTTTATAGTATAGTCTATAGTCTAGTCTATAGTCTAGTCTATAGTCTAGTCTATAGTCTAGTCTATAGTCTAGTCTATAGTCTAGTCTATAGTCTAGTCTATAGTCTAGTCTATAGTCTAGTTTATTGTCTAGTCTATAGTCTAGTCTATAGTCTAGTCTATAGTCTAGTCTATATTCTAATCTATAGTCTAGTCTATAGTTTAGTCTACAGTCTAGTCTATAGTCTAGTCTATAGTCTAATCTATAGTCTAATCTATAGACTAATCTATAGTCTAATATATAATCTAATCTATAGTCTAATCTATAGTCTAATCTATAGTCCAATCTATATTCTAGTCTATAGTCTAGTCTAAAGTCTACTCTATAGTCTAGTCTATAGTCTACGCTATAGTCTAGCCTATAGTCTAATCTATAGTATACTCTATAGTCTAATCTATAGTCTAATCTGTAGTAGTAGTAAAAGTAGCAGCAAAAATTAACTCAAAAATGTTCTAATAAAAATTATAGTGTATATGTCAGCCAGTTATAGGGTCAAACTGTATGCAAGTAACTAAAACATTTGTAATATTCTTTACTTTCCTTATGCTACTACGTAATTCTAATCCGTTATTTAAAGTTTGAAAGAACACATAGAAAACTCAACATCTAATACCGGAAAAAATTTAACCTATTTAACCGCATCTAACACAAACACACACTTTTAGAGCTAAAAATCTGTGCTAATAACAAATAACAATAGATTTACTGACAGTCATCAGCCATGAGTAGTAAGTAACAAGGAAGTTTTTTTCTTTTTTTGCAAAATCATTTTGAAATCAATATTACACTTAAATGAAGCGAATTTGTATCAAATTACCCAACATGATTTACACTATTTCTAAGTTAAAGATTTCAAATGACATATTTTTCTTTTTTAACGAAAAAGAAAACTTTAATAGAGAAATGAAGTTAGGAGAAAGAGACAATGATAATAATGGGTTATGATGATAATGACTTGTCAAGAAAAAAGGGCTTAATAACAGATTTATTGGAAAGATAAAATAAAAATAGAGATATAAAAAATATATTTAAAAAATCTAAGTTCATTGTTCTTTAAAAAATATTATTATTAGTTATTTAACATGTGTCTTATATATTTTTTAAATTCCGCAGGTGCCATTTTTCTGTTTTGGCTATTTTGACTTAATAAACGTTTGATAGTTTTTATTTTTATAATGAAACAATTAAATTTTAATCGTTACCAAATTGGTTGAAAAATAATATTTTAAAAGGTTTTAAGCTGACCAAAAAAAAAAAATTTGATAATAAAACTGAAAAGAAAAACATATTTTGCACCTGTCATTAAAATGTCAAATATGTATAGAAATATTATATTTTTAGTTTTATTATGACAGTTCAACATTTTGATTGAAATAAGAATAAAACCAGTTTGGCAAATAAAATTTTGAATTTTTGTTGTTTAACACACAGATTAGCAATACTTAATAAAATTTATAAAAATTAAATGTTGCACCCTATAAAGGGCATTTAAAAAAGACTGGACCATAGACTAGACTAAACTATAGAATAGTCCATAGACTAGACTATAGACTAGACTATAGACTAGACTATAGACTAGACTATAGACTAGACTATAGACTAGACTATAGACTAGACTATAGACTAGACTATAGACTAGACTATAGACTAGACTATAGACTAGACTATAGACTAGACTATAGACTAGACTATAGACTAGACTATAGACTAGACTATAGACTAGACTATAGACTAGACTATAGACTAGACTATAGACTAGACTATAGACTAGACTATAGACTAGACTATAGACTAGACTATAGACTAGACTATAGACTAGACTATAGACTAGACTATAGACTAGACTATAGACTAGACTATAGACTAGACTATAGACTAGACTATAGACTAGACTATAGACTAGACTATAGACTAGACTATAGACTAGACTATAGACTAGACTATAGACTAGACTATAGACTAGACTATAGACTAGACTATAGACTAGACTATAGACTAGACTATAGACTAGACTATAGACTAGACTATAGACTAGACTATAGACTAGACTATAGACTAGACTATAGACTAGACTATAGACTAGACTATAGACTAGACTATAGACTAGACTATAGACTAGACTATAGACTAGACTATAGACTAGACTATAGACTAGACTATAGACTAGACTATAGACTAGACTATAGACTAGACTATAGACTAGACTATAGACTAGACTATACTAGACTATAGACTAGACTATAGACTAGACTATAGACTAGACTATAGACTAGACTATAGACTAGACTATAGACTAGACTATAGACTAGACTATAGACTAGACTATAGACTAGACTATAGACTAGACTATAGACTAGACTATAGACTAGACTATAGACTAGACTATAGACTAGACTATAGACTAGACTATAGACTAGACTATAGACTAGACTATAGACTAGACTATAGACTAGACTATAGACTAGACTATAGACTAGACTATAGACTAGACTATATACTACACTATAGGCCAAACTATAGACTAGACTGTAGGCCTGACTATAGAGTACACTACAGACTAGTTCATATACTACATGATAAATTAGTTTAAAGTCTACTGACTAAAGTATGACTAAATGCCTGATTGTAAACATTATCACAGATAACGCTTTTTGAAAGTCGTTATAACCGATCTTCAAAAATTGCTCTCTCAACTTAAGCTTTATTTGTTAAAGAAAACAAATCAAAAACGAAAAAAAAATATGAATTATGTGAACCATATTTTATGATTGTTATAAACAAAAGAATGAAAAAAAAGAGTTAAAACTTGATGGTTTTATTAATGTTTATCTGTCTGTCTGTCCTTCCAATCATACGTCTGTCTGTAACATGAACTGCACGGCATAATATCGACCATTAAATTATGCGTACGTGAGGATTTTTCTTGAATAATTGTAATTGTTTTCATGTTTTTCGTAACAAATCGAATACGATAAATGTGGTAAAAGAATGGAAATAAAGAAAATTGATTATTTGGAGTGGAAAAAAATTACAATTCTCAAGAATTCCATAATTGACTTATATAAAGTATTTGAAGAAGGTTTTTGTACCAAAAAAAAAAACAAAGTTTTGATGAAATATTATACACACGAATAAATGTGAAGTTATGCAATAAAAATTTAATTGAAAAGCGAGAAAATCGTACAAAATGAAAGTTAGCAATGGGAATTTAATACTAAATATGTATATAAAAAAGAAAATATTATTTTCTTTAAAATTATTATGTAAAATATACTATATGCGAAACTTAATAAATACGATTCTAACTTTAACTAATTAATAAATACTCAAAACTTAGCTCTACTTTGTTAAATTCCTTTTAAATATAACAATTTAGTTTGGCATTTCCTTTCAATTAAATACCAAAAACACACTCACAACCTATCAACACTATCACCAAAGAAAAGTTTTGTTAAAAAAAAATATTTCAAACATTTCAACTCTTATGGACGTTTTTAAATTTTATTTGACACTTGAGGCATTTAACATAACATTAACAATATATTAGCAAATATTATTACCATCATAATGATATAGGAAATGTAATGTAATATGATAGAAAAGAATGGAAAGAAATTCTTTTCAAACTAAAACTTCTCTTTGTTCAAAAAACTATCGCCCAACACATGCCAAACACTCATAGAGCTACAACGGCAGACAGTAAGACTCACAGACAGACGGACAGATGTATAAAAGAAGAAAAAAAAAAAACACCTCCACATATTTGAAAAATATTTTATGGTCATACTTCTAAGTACATAAAGGCACAAAACCAAGGAAACCCAAAGTAAAACTCCAAAACCATCAAATATAGTTTAACATAATAAATATGTGTAGTTAACGAGTTATAGACCTACTAACTTGGCCTTTTTGCTGTTGTTCAGCCACCACCACGACAACAACAATCATTTTTTTAAGGTGATATTTTATGAGTGTGGTATGTAAGTAAGTCTGTCTGTTTGTCCGATAGTCTGTCCCTCAGTCTGTCTGTTTGATTCTTTGTTTGTGTATATTTTGATTTTAGTAGTTTATGGTGAAATTTCCTTTTTATGAGTTAATGGCATTTTAAAAGTGTAAAATTATTGTAAAACTAAATTTGTGACAACAATTTATAACAAAAGATTTTTATATGATTATGAATTTATTAAGATTACAGTTTAAGAACGATTAAAATGTAATAAATTTAAATATTTATGGGTATAGCGGGAAAAGTTTGTTATAAATTTTAAGAATTTTTTTTTAAGGTGGAAATATAGATAGATAGATAGATAGATAGATAGATAGATAGATAGATAGATAGATAGATAGATAGATAGATAGATAGATAGATAGATAGATAGATAGATAGATAGATAGATAGATAGATAGATAGATAGATAGATAGATAGATAGATAGATAGATAGATAGATAGATAGATAGATAGATAGATAGATAGATAGATAGATAGATAGATAGATAGATAGATAGATAGATAGATAGATAGATAGATAGATAGATAGATAGATAGATAGATAGATAGATAGATAGATAGATAGATAGATAGATAGATAGATAGATAGATAGATAGATAGATAGATAGATAGATAGATAGATAGATAGATAGATAGATAGATAGATAGATAGATAGATAGATAGATAGATAGATAGATAGATAGATAGATAGATAGATAGATAGATAGATAGATAGATAGATAGATAGATAGATAGATAGATAGATAGATAGATAGATAGATAGATAGATAGATAGATAGATAGATAGATAGATAGATAGATAGATAGATAGATAGATAGATAGATAGATAGATAGATAGATAGATAGATAGATAGATAGATAGATAGATAGATAGATAGATAGATAGATAGATAGATAGATAGATAGATAGATAGATAGATAGATAGATAGATAGATAGATAGATAGATAGATAGATAGATAGATAGATAGATAGATAGATAGATAGATAGATAGATAGATAGATAGATAGATAGATAGATAGATAGATAGATAGATAGATACATAGATAGATAGATAGATAGATAGATAGATAGATAGATAGATAGATAGATAGATAGATAGATAGATAGATAGATAGATAGATAGATAGATAGATAGATAGATAGATAGATAGATAGATAGATAGATAGATAGATAGATAGATAGATAGATAGATAGATAGATAGATAGATAGATAGATAGATAGATAGATAGATAGATAGATAGATAGATAGATAGATAGATAGATAGATAGATAGATAGATAGATAGATAGATAGATAGATAGATAGATAGATAGATAGATAGATAGATAGATAGATAGATAGATAGATAGATAGATAGATAGATAGATAGATAGATAGATAGATAGATAGATAGATAGATAGATAGATAGATAGATAGATAGATAGATAGATAGATAGATAGATAGATAGATAGATAGATAGATAGATAGATAGATAAGATAGATAGATAGATAGATAGATAGATAGATAGATAGATAGATAGATAGATAGATAGATAGATAGATAGATAGATAGATAGATAGATAGATAGATAGCTAGATAGATAGATAGATAGATAGATAGATAGATAGATAGATAGATAGATAGATAGATAGATAGATAGATAGATAGATAGATAGATAGATAGATAGATAGATAGATAGATAGATAGATAGATAGATAGATAGATAGATAGATAGATAGATAGATAGATAGATAGATAGATAGATAGATAGATAGATAGATAGATAGATAGATAGATAGATAGATAGATTAATAGATAATATTAATAAGTAGATAGAGATCTAAACCGATAATTTGCTGAATGTGTTTATACCCTACACCTTCGTACAAATTTTATATATAACCTTGTCATTCCGTTTGTAATTTCCACAATATAATTTTGCGATTCAATAACTATATATCTAAATCAAACCCCAATTTTGCGAATAATCATTTGTTAAATGTTGTTATGCCCTTCACTCTTCACACAGAAGGTTATATATAAGTTGGTCATTCTGTTTGTAATTCCCATTATATAATTTTCGATACTATAACTTACCCCCGCATTTTATAAAACGAAACTTTCGTTAACGTAAAAAATTTGTATGAAGAATACTGGGAAATTTATGAAAATTTGAATTTTTTCCATACAAATTTTTTTGAACGTTTGTCGTTTCGTTTTATAAAATGAGACCCTTAATATATATTTCTATTCCTCATAGAGAATTCTATTTAACAATAAGGGTCTCATTTTATAAAACGAAACGACAAACGTTCAAAAAAATTTGTATGGAAAAAATTCATATTTTCAAAAATTTCCCTGTATTCTTCATACAAATTTTTTACGTTAACGATAGTTTCGTTTTATAAAATGAGGGGGTAACACAAATAAATTTTCTTAAGACCCCAGATATCTTCTGATTCCAATAAGTCTATGAGATATGCATGCAATAAGTTTAATATTGAGTATCTACAAAATTGGTTCGAAAATAACGAAGATATGAGTAAAAATTCGACAAAAAAACATGATTTTCTCAAAAAATTTAGCAAAAAAGGCAATATGTATATCAAAAGAAAGATATTTAGAAAATAATTATATGTTCGAAATGTATCCGAAAATATGGTTTAAAAATACGGATTTTTTTTGAGCAAATTCATTGATTTTTTTGTGAAAACTCTAGAAAAGCCTTTTAGTTTATACAAAAGATTCTTTCAAAAGAATTTTTCTTTTAAAACCACAACTAGAAAAAGAATTTTATTAAAAACTCATAAAAATTTGTTATATATATGAACAAACGATTTTAAGCAACAACACTTCCTCACTTCTAACAACTAAGCTCATAAGGAATAGCAACAAGCAACAACAACAAGAATAAGTCGACAATAAAAACAACACCTTTAAGTGACACTTATTATAATTGCAATTTTATAAGTGCCATTCTTAAAACAAGCAACAAACAACAGCAAGCAAGCGTTTCATTCATACAGCCAAAGTTGGCTCAAGACAACACAAAAGGGGGCGCAAAAGGCAAAGGAAAAAAAAAGCAACAAAAGAAAACCAAACCACAAGTACCATTTGATTTGAATTCCATACACATGAATAGTTAATGTTAAGTTTTAGGTTGTTTTTTTTTTTTTGTATTTTTTATTAAAAAAGATTTTTATTATTATTTTACATGTTGTTCTTACAACTAAGAACATCTTTAACTATCATATGTATGCAACCTTAGCAATGGTTTTATTCTACTAGAGGATGCAAGTACTTTTTAGTTCCATGCTATGCATATAGTAGATTCACTATTGTCTTGTTCTATAACTTTAAGTGTCAAATCTCTGAACTATTTGCATTTTTCTCTACAACTTTTCATACAAAACATTTTTGAAAAGAAACAAAAAAAAAATATTGTCTTTTTTATAGATTTTCCTTATTCATAATGCAGTTTTTTTTAGCTTTTAAAGCTTAGAAGAGACTTGTCTTAGGATTCCTGGGCAAAACAACAAAAAAATTAGAAAAAAGAAAGTCAAGTCTTGGTCATAGAATATGTACATTGATAATTCCTTATGGCGGCACGTGTTCATGTTGATTGTTTTGCCATTGGCATTGATCATCTTATTGTGGTTTATGGCGGGGATAAGACAAACCAACAAACACAACGAAAGGGTAACAAAAAAACCCAAAGCATACAGCTTCAGCATCATAAAAAATAAAATTTTTTTTCCTTTTACTTGTTCTATTAGACATTGGCTAATTCAATATTGATTGGTGTTGATAGTTAAGCTTATTGGCAACGCCTTGGTTGTTGTAGCCTATTCATAAGAAAACCTATAAATGAATTTGCTTCCGACTTGTGGTCTATGCAGAGTTTGCTTGTTCTTTTGTAACAACTATTTTTTGTTGTTATTGCTGTTGTTGTTGCTGTTCTCCTTTTTCTTTTATTTTTAATTTTGTGTGTAAAGGCGTCAAAATTTATTAGAGCGTTATGATTACAATATAGTTATAGAGATAATTTATAGGAATTACCTTTTAGCTAAATATATTGATTATGAAAATATATTGTATCTTTATATAATTTCATTATTGTTTATTGAGGACAAAAAAAAATTACTTGATTAACGTTAAAAAAATTATTAAAACAAATAAATTTTTTGCAAAATTACGAAAAAGTCTTGAAATAAACAAGTTTAAGCAACAAATACGGCTTTTAAATGGAAAATTATAAAAATATTAGAATTTAAAGTTAATTTCGAAAATTCGAACTTAATTTCGAATTTTGTTTTAAGATTGTGAAAAATTTTTTAAAGATAGTTTTAAAGAATATCATGAAATTTGTAAATTTTCTCTGTAATATTGAAGTTTTAAGCAATTTTCGAAAATTCGAACTTAATTTCGAATTTGGTTTTTATGTTAGAAAATAATGTTTAAGGCTTATTTGTAATAAAAATCATGAAATTTATGATTTTTCTTTAATATTTTCTTTAATATTTAAATTTTCGAAAATTCGAACATAATTTCGAATTTGGTTTTTTTGTTCGAAAATAATGTTTAAGACTTATTTGTAATAAAAATCATGAAATTTGTGGTTTTTCTTTAGAATTTCAAAGTTTTAAGCAATTTTTGAAAATTCGAACTTAATTTCGAATTTGGTTTTTATGTTAGAAAATAAAGTTTAAGACTTATTTGTAATAAAAATCATAAAATTTTTGGTTTTTCTTTTGAATTTCAAAACTTTAAGCAATCTTCGAAATTTCGAACTTAATTTAGAATTTGATTTTTATGTTAGAAAATAATATTTAAGGCTTATTTGTAATAAAAATCGTAAAATTTTTGAGTTTATTTGAAATTTAAAAGTTTTTAGCAGTTTTTTAAATTTCGAACATAATTTCGAATTTTCGAAATTGTCCAAATATAATGCTTAATGTTCTTTAATCTCAAAATTTTAATAGATTTAAACATTTTTCGCCATTTAAATTTCATAAATTCTCGTATTTTTAATTATTTTCGAAAATTCGAACTTAATTTCGAAATAATTGTTGATGCTTATTTGTGATATATATCATAAAAATTTAAATTTTATGTAAAATTTTTAAGTTTTTAGCAATTTTAAAATTTCGAACATAAAGTAGAATTTTCGAAATTGTCCAAAAATAATGTTTTCTGTTTTTTTTCATTTTCGAAAGCTCGAACTCTATTCGAAATTATTATTTTATAAATTCTTTAAAATATTAAAGTTTTTAATAATTTTCGAAATTTCGAAATAAATTTCAAATTTTCGAAAATATCAAAAATAACTTTTTTTTGTCCCCAAACTCTGAACTAAAAAATCGTATTTTAAACAAAACTTTTAAAAATTTCCTTATCCTTTTTCTTTCCAGTTTTTACTTGGGGTAAACGTATGAGCCGTAAACTAGACATTTTAAAACGTAGTGACACCCACAACACTCACAAGTCTCACACCGATCTACGCAGCCTCTTTCACTCGCCCAATCATCATAATGCCAGCAACAGCAACAACAACAGCAATAACACCAATCAAAGCAATAACACTCCCACACACAATTCAAACAATCGAGAAGGACACTATCAAAGCAATACATTAAAGAAATGCAAATCTGGACCCATAGAAACGATTAAAAATCGTGAACAACAAAGAAATCAAAGTATAAAATTACAAAATAAATTAGGGGAAACGCAGCACTCTGCCTCAGCTTCTAGTACACCAACACATTCGTCTCAAACGAGGCCGCAGACAAAGGCTATAAAGAATTTCTTTCATCGCATAGGATCGACAGGCATGTTAAATCATAAATCTCATAATCTGGTCAAAGCGGCCGAGCAACCAAATAATCAAGCATCAACAGCTTCTCTATATCGTAGTAGTTCTACGAGTCAGTTGACTACTTGTTCCTATGTGAAGTGTGATGATCCTAGTGATGGTTTAAATTTAGCTAATGGCCAAAAGAGGCAATCAATGAGTGGTTTACTTAAAAGTGGGGCTAGTTTGCTAAATGGCAGTAATGGTAGTATAGCCAGTGCGGGTATAAAGTCTAGTAGTTGTGATGATATAGCCAAGGTGGGACAAGTGGTTATAACAACAACAACCAATTCGGCTTCAGAACCCTCTTCAGCCACCTCACCCCAAAACTCGGGAGATGCTAATAATAGAAGAGCCGCCTTTCCTTATGCCTTTCTGCGCTCTAGGCTATCGGTGTTACCAGAAGAAAATAATGGCTCGGTGATGAAACAACCTTCCCTCTCCAGTTTACACACTTTGGCCGAGCAACAACAGTATCTACATGTACCCAATTCTCCTTTACCAAAACATCGCAATTCCACTATTTTACCTGCCGTCGAAACAGACTTTAATCAATTGACAGATAATCTCTCAATTGCTAGCTCTACACCAAATCATTCTGTAAAAATGATTTATCGGAATGATTCTTTAACGAAGCGTTATTCCTCGGATGATAGTGCTATTGGCAATTGCTCGCCCATGCAGCAGACATCTCAACAGTCCGGCGGCGGCAGTGGTGATGTTTCACGCAACAACAGCATTACTTCCAAGGACTGGGAACCACTTTACCAAAGATTAAGTAGTTGTCTAAGTTCAAATGAATCGGGTTACGATAGTGATGGTGGCAATAATATCACACGCCTAAGCAATAGTCTTGGTATCTCCGGAGGAGATACAGAATCCATTGCTTCGGGTACTCTAAAAAGAAATTCCCTAATATCACTCACCTCATCGGAGGGTTTGGGAGGTGGAGTGATGACAAGTGGTGGCGGTAGTAATGCTTTGCGTTCGAGTAGTATTTGTAGTACTATGAGTGGTCCCGTTTCGTTAGGTGGCTATAATTATGATTACGAAACCGAGACAATACGTCGTCGGTTTAGACAGGTGAAGTTGGAGAGAAAATGCCAAGAAGACTATATAGGTTTGGTACTATCGCCCAAGACTGTACAAACCAGCAATAATGAAATGCAATATAGATATTTGATTGTCGAAATAGATCCGTATGGTATGGCTCAAAAGTAAGTAGAATTCTGAATCAAATTTCTTTTAATAAAAGCGACACAATTCTTACTATAGAATGATATATAGTCGAGACTATAGATTGATCTATAGTCCAGACTATTAATTGATCTATAATTCGGACAAATCTTAAAAATCCCTATAAAATATTGCATTTTCCATTTAATTAAAAAATCTTTACAGAGATGGCCGCCTTCGCCTGGGAGACGAAATTGTCAATGTTAATGGCAATCATTTGCGTGGCATACAATCGTTCCAGGAGGTGCAACGTTTATTAAGCTCCTTTGTCGACAATTGCATTGATTTGGTTATAGCCCACGATGAGGTTCATACTATAACCGATTTTTATACCAAAATCAAAATTGATGGCTCTTCAGCTTATGGGCAAAAAACAGAAATGGAATCAAATCCAACACAAACTGATATGTATAGTTCTATGCAATCTCTAACTTCGGACACGCCACCACCACCGCCTCAATCAAGGAATGATTATTTAGCTCGAGCTAGAAAACGTTTAAGTTATACACAACGCACCCAAAGTACCGACAGTATCAATAGCTATGATTTGCATAGTTTACAATTGGCTTTGGAACATGAACGCGACGATGATGCCGAGTCTATAGCTAGTACTTCTACCATTAACTCAGCCGTGGATGTTACTTCACCGCCCAGTGGACCCATGCCCCCTTCCATGCCCTTAATGCAGCATAGGAGATGTTCCACACCACGTCATTCTATGGATGCCTCTGCTTTGGAACATTTAAGACGTCGTGCCCGTTCTTCTTCAGGTCAGCGCAATTTGGAATTAACCCCCATGCTTTACACAAACGAATACACTCCGGTCTATAACAATCGTTCGTCTAGTGTTTCTCTAGCTACGCACACGATAAGCGATGATGAGAAATGGCAATTGTTGAATCGTAAACGCTGTTCAGAGGGCGCCGCCTTACAGACACCCCTACAGCCGCCTCAGTGTGGTAATCGTAGTGCTTCTTTAAGTATAGAAACTCGCAAAGCTAGTCTCATAAGTCAAGATAGTTTGGAGGGTGCAGCACAAGCGGCACAACCCTTCCCAGCACGCACTCACTATACCCGCAATTCAATAAATCTCTCAAATTCGCATTATCGTTCGTTGCGTTTTGCACATTCTCGCCTTAGTTCGTCACGTTTAAGTTTATTTCTGCAGCCAAATAATACTAATAATCAAGCTCAAACAGCAACAGCCAATGCTAACCAACAACAATACACCAATAATACAACAAATAATCACAATAAGACTAATGCTAATACTAATATCCAAAACCAAACAAACACCAACAACAATTATTCCCTTCATAATGATAACACCAACTCTGCCACACCTACAATAACTTTAGCTAATAATGTCCTTGATTTAGAGGATGACAACGTTACTAGTTGTGGTGTTAGTAAACGTTTTCAATCGTCTGTAAATGCTCAACAACAGCATCAAACGGATGTTACACATGATCTCAATAGTACAACAACAACAAAACAATTGCATCAACAAATGCCACCAAAATATATAAGTAATACTACTTTAACCCTAAATCATTTAACCAAACACAATAATCATCATCATCAACATCATTTAAATGTTCCTTCCTCCTCTACAACAAATCAATCTAATGCTTCAACAACTACTACAGCAACAGTGGGTAATCGGACATATTTAACACCGGCTATGGCTACACCATCAGCAGCCATGCTGCAACATCATCGTCCCTCATTACCCGTGGCCAAACTAACAATTAGAGATGAAGAAATGGCTGAGGTAATCAGAGCCTCACTGAGTGATGGTAAGTGTAGGGAGAGATATAAATATAGAACATACTGGGGAGTAAATTAGGGAATTTTCGATTCAAATCATTTAAAATGTTTGGAATAGAATTTGAATCCTAAACTTGTTTGCGATTCATAAAGAAATTTTCAATTTTAGGAAGTTAAACAAAAGAATATATTAAACAGGGATGAACAAAATCTTTACTAAAACTTAATTACACCAGAATTTTTAAAATTTAGTTTAGTTCTCTAATCCACTTTTCTTATAAAATAATATATAACTAAACCTAAACCGATTTCATAATTTTTAACAAAGGCTTTATAAACAATAACTTCTTAACATATAAATTTAAATTATTCAATTAATATTAATCAAACAATCTATTTTTAATTAAACCCCTAAAGAAATACATTATTCAATTTTCTAATTTAGGCTCCCGACGCGGGTACTCCTAGAGTTGTGACTTTCTTTAAGGGTCCTGGCATGAAATCTTTAGGTTTCAGTATTGTTGGTGGACGTGATTCGCCTAAAGGCAACATGGGCATTTTTGTTAAGACTGTGTTCCCTACGGGACAGGCAGCAGATGATGGCACTTTGCAAGCTGGTAAGATATTTATAAAATGAACTGGATTTTCACTGAACTAAACAAGAACAGAACTAATCTAGAAGAGAACTAGAACTGAACTAGAAACTAAACTAGAACTGAACTAGAACTGAACTAGAACTGAACTAGAACTGAACTAGAACTGAACTAGAACTGAACTAGAACTGAACTAGAACTGAACTAGAACTGAACTAGAAACTGAACTAGAACTGAACTAGAACTGAACCTAGAACTGAACTAGAACTGAACTAGAACTAGAACTGAACTAGAACTGAACTAGAAACTGAACTAGAAACTGAACTAGAACTGAACTAGAACTGAACTAGAACTGAACTAGAACTGAAACTAGAACTGAACTGAGAAGCTGAACTAGAACTGAACTAGACTGAACTAGAAACTGAACTAGAAACCTGAAACTAGAACTGAACTAGAACTGAACTAGAACTGAACTAGAACTGAACTAGAACTGAACTAGAACTGAACTAGAACTGAACTAGAACTGAACTAGAAATGAACTAGAACTGAACTAGAACTGAACTAGAACTAAACTAGAACTGAATTAGAACTGAATTAGAACTGAACTAGAACTGAACTAGAACTGAACTAGAACTGAACTAGAACTGAACTAGAACTGAACTAGAACTGAACTAGAACTGAACTAGAACTGAACTAGAACTGAACTAGAACTGAACTAGAACTGAACTAGAACTGAACTAGAACTGAACTAGAACTAGAACTGAACTAGAACTGAACTAGAACTGAACTAGAACTGAACTAGAACTGAACTGAACTAGAACTGAACTAGAACTAGAACTGAACTAGAACTGAACTAGAACTGAACTAGAACTGAACTAGAACTGAACTGAACTAGAACTGAACTAGAACTGAACTAGAACTGAACTAGAACTGAACTAGAACTGAACTAGAAATGAACTAGAACTGAACTAGAACTGAACTAGAACTGAACTAGAACTGAACTAGAACTGAACTAGAACTGAACTAGAAATGAACTAGAACTGAACTAGAACTGAACTAGAACTGAACTAGAACTGAACTAGAACTGAACTAGAACTGAACTAGAACTGAACTAGAACTGAACTAGAACTGAACTAGAACTGAACTAGAACTGAACTAGAACTGAACTAGAACTGAACTAGAACTGAACTAGAACTGAACTAGAACTGAACTAGAACTGAAATAGAACTGAACTAGAACTGAACTAGAACTGAACTAGAACTGAACTAGAACTGAACTAGAACTGAACTAGAACTGAACTAGAACTGAACTAGAACTGAACTAGAACTGAACTAGAACTGAACTAGAACTGAACTAGAACTGAACTAGAACTGAACTAGAACTGAACTAGAACTGAACTAGAACTGAACTAGAACTGAACTAGAACTGAACTAGAACTGAACTAGAACTGAACTAGAACTGAACTAGAACTGAACTAGAACTGAACTAGAACTGAACTAGAAACTGAACTAGAACTGAACTAGAACTGAACTAGAACTGAACTAGACTGAACTAGAACTAGAACTGAACTAGAACTGAACTAGAACTGAACTAGAACTGAACTAGAACTGAACTAGAACTGAACTAGAACTAACTAGAACTGAACTAGAACTGAACTAGAACTGAACTAGAACTGAACTAGAACTGAACTAGAACTGAACTAGAACTGAACTAGAACTGAACTAGAACTGAACTAGAACTGAACTAGAACTGAACTAGAACTGAACTAGAACTGACTAGAACTGAACTAGAACCGAACTAGAACTGGAATCTGTATAATAATTGTTTTTCCATTTTCAGGCGATGAAATTTTAGAAATCAATGGCAATTCAGTGCAAGGTATGAGTCATGCCGAAACTATAGCATTATTTAAAAATGTTCGAGAGGGTGCTATAGTTCTAAAACTACTAAGAAGAAGGTAAGTTCAAAATGAATTAACATTTAAACAAAATTATTTCTAACAAACAAATTATTCTCTTCCTAACAGACTACAAAAGGCTAAATCAATGGGGGCTTAAAAGAAGACAAAAAATAATTATTCTTTCAAAGAATTTATATTTAAATAACGAGAAAAATTATTAATATTTGAATATTTAATTAAGTACCTATATAAAACAAACATTTAATTGAATGTAAGTGTTTTAAAACTAATAAAAAATAAAAATTTAGCTATATTTCAATTTAGCGTATTGTATTTGTTTGTTAAATATTGTTGAAATATTGCAATTTTTTAGAATTCTTAAAAATCCTTACTTTAACTTTTAGTTTGTATAGTAAGCAAAGCTATACTATAAGTAAATTTTTATTTATAAAACATTTTTTTGTCTTAAATAGTTAATTATATTAAAATTATGTAATTATTTTTTTTAATTATTAAGTTCTAGTAAAGGTAATTTATAAAACGTCTCATTGTTATTATACTATTTTATAGTTTAAGGCAGAAACAATTTAAAAACACGTACAAAAAAAGAGATAATGGAAAATATTGAGAAAAAGAAAATTTGTAATTAAGATTCAAATTTAAAATTAAACTAATTAACTGTTTAAAATAAGTTATTAAGACAGATAAGTGGCCGCAATTATTTTAATTGTAAATTAAACAAAAACACATATTAAAGAGAATGTTGAATGTGTATTAAACAAAAAAGAATTACTAAACAAAATGCTTACCTGGTTTTTGTTCTTAAATGGGATTGTTGGTTAAAGGAATTAGTTGTTTGATGGATTGCCGGATTGTAAAATTAAACTTTGTTTTTTAACAAAATAATTAAAAGAATTATTTGTTTGATGAGTTGTCGGGTTGTAAAATTAAACGTTGTTTTTTAACAAAATGATCTATGCGATTTTCTAAACTTTCTGTAAATATTAAAAACAGTATTAATAAGTTTTTATTAGTATTGTTTTAAAGAAAAGTCAACATACCACATCTTTTACGATTTAATAACTTTTGATATTGTCGCGGTTTTACACAATCCTGCAACAGTAAAACCTGCGTTCTAATATCCTGAGGTTGGAACTGTTTTTGTAAAGTATTTTCCAGTTCAAATAAAACATTACGTATCATGGTGGCTCTAAAATAAAAAAGAAATTTTATATTACAATATTTTGCTAGATAATTTAAGTTTTGTTCTAACTTACTTTATGCTAAATTGAGACCATTCACTTTGTATATTCTCTATAAGTTTTTGCAAGTTTTCCTCATTATAAATCCATTTGGTAATATCTGATTCTTCAGAGGAATTTTCATGATCAGGAGAGGGGTCAATTACATCCTCTTCTTCAGCCAACAATTCTTCATTGGTTTTACGGCAAGTTTTATTGCGAAACTCGCAATTAAATAGATTCAAAGGCAAACCAATGGCGGGTGTATATTGGGGTTTACTAAAGAAATAATTTAATTAAAAGAATTTTTAATATATTTTATTTATACTTACCAAGGATTCTTTTCCACATCTAATAGTTCTGTTATTACCTCAGGCTCTTCTTTTTCTTGTCCGATTAATATCAATACCGCCATTATGCAGCGTATTTGATGCCATAAAAATGCATTAGCTTTAATTTGTAAATAATACATATTATATCCAGTCTGCTCTTTTTCCGATTCATTGGGACATAGATGAACACTAGCTGATTGCAAGTTACGCATATAGTTGGTAACACCATTGTGAACATCCATTTTACAAAAATTGCGGAAATCTGCATGTCTCTGCAGTAATAAACAAGCTTTTTGCATGGCCTGAGCAAAAAAAAAAAAAGAATAACGGTAAATAAGAGATTGCAAGACAATTTGCAAACATGTGCTCTGCATAACAACTCTGTTTTAAAAAAAGCAACTTTGTTAGCAAAGACAACAACCTTTTTATAACAGCGAGCAAACATACATTCACTAGGGAATGGTATGTTTTGAAATTTGTTTACATATAAAATATAAGAATTTTATAAAACTAGTCTACAATAACGTTTCAATATGATATTTAAAAGATTTATTTTTTAAATTTAATAGGACCTACGTGAAAATCAACAATATTCAGATATTAAATACGAAAAAAAACAGAAATATAAATGAAATTGAGTTAGAACAGAAACTGAGGTAAACTAAAACTGAATACCTATAATTATAACAATCTTACTTACCTCTATATTCAAATCACCTTTGGGAAAGAAATATCTATAGGTCCTGGCGACACAATCGAATCTGGCACTATACACTGGCGTTTTTAAAGGCATCCAGGCTATACATTGTATATTTTTTGGCAATATACGATTTAATAAACCACAATAATCAATTTCATCGCGCAAACATTCCTCATCGAATTGTCTATCTGCAGGAAATTTACTACGTAAATCAATGGAAATTACCTGACAAAAGGCACTAACCTCTTTGTCGGTACGGCCACAACGGTGATAATTGGAAGTGGCACGTGATTCAATGAGACAGCAGCGAGTCAAGGCTTTGAAAAGATGGTGTTCTAAAAATTTAGACGATATTAGTAAACACATACAACAAACATTTCCATAGTCTTAAAAATATTACCAATAGTGGCATTAGAATCTTCCTGACATGCGAAGCCTTGATAATCCCAACCAAAATATAAAAATTTCATTAAAACATGACGTTTGGCACATCTAAGAAAAACATGAAATGTGGAATTTATTCAAAATATAAAATAAAAGTTATTGTAATGGTTCCGCATTACTTACTTGCTGAAATCAAATTGGCGTTTCTTGGATTTTTTATCACCTGCGACTTCCTCCTCCAAGTCTTTTTTATTAACACTTGCTAATCTATTTACTTGATTAGATTGCATAGTTTGCAATTCATTTAACTCCTTGAGAAGCTCCTCATTTTGTTCACTTTCATTAATACCATCAGTGTTAAGCTTTTTATTTAAAATATTTTTGAGTTGAAAATTATAGGCTTCCAGCTGCACAATTTTATCAATTAAATCATTTTTGGATAATTTTTCTAATTCTTCACGTGGTAAACCTTTAACACGTTTATTGATAACAATTTTTGAAGACATTTTCTAAATATTTTTATTAATTTATTATTAATTTTTATTGTTTACCCACAACCCGGCCACAATTTTTGCACGCCACAGAGCACTGCAACGACAAATATTAACGGCGGCGGCGGCTGACACTAAAAATATCGGCGGCAGCTTTTAATATCGACTGTAAGCCGGCTAAGTATCAAATATGTTTATTTTACAAATTTCCAAAGATTTTATATAAAAACGGAATCCGAGAGATAAAAAAGTGGGATTTTGTATATAATTTATAACAACAAAATAGAGCAAGCACAAAAGTTGTGTAAGAAATTATGCAGGGATGGAAAAAAATAACAAAATTTAAAAATTTAACTCTCTATAAAAGATACAAAAACAGTTTAAAGCTTATCGTAGCTCATTTAAAAAATAAGCGGACAGGTGTCTGGTACTTTTTTCAAATTCGGCCCCTTTAGGGAATAAACGGGTAAAAACTGTATTTTGGTACTTTTTTGCACCCCATGTATCTTTTAAGCCAGGGAACATTGAAAAAATATTTTTGACTCCTTTTTTTTTGGAATAGAATTTTTATATCCTTAATGGGGTGGAAGTAACAAAAGGGATAAAAGCGGGAAATTTGATTTATTCAAACACAATGATCTAATTTATATACAATTTTTAGATTTAGAAACTTTAAATATGCTAATGGGGTGGTATTTGGAACACCGGTACCAAGTGATATTTTTTGGTACTTTTTCATTCTCCAACTGGTACTTTTTGAGTTTTCTATGATATTGAAATCGAAACATGAAATTAATAAAGGGATTTTTCGGTACTTTTTCGTTCTACGCAGGTACTTTTTTGAATTTTCTTTAAAATTAAACCTAGAAACATGAAATTAGGTATATAGAGCCCAGATAAAGAGAGAACCTTTTTGTTCTTCAAAAGGAATTTTTTATTTTAATATTTATTTTATTCAATTACGATGAGGGTAGCTAGTCTATATAATAAAATTTTGAATAATCTAAATACATGATTAATTTAAAATGTCTGGGTTTAATATTATAGCAAACTCAAAAATTGCCAGTTAAAGAATGAAAAAGTATCAAAAAGTTCCTGTTTATATGTTCTTACTTAATTCGGGCTCTACATGCTTAATTTCATGTTTCTAGGTTCAATACCATAGAGAATTCAAAAAGTACCTTTTGAAGAACGAAAAAGTACCAAAAAATCCCATTTTATAAGTTCTCATTTACTCCGGGCCCTACATGCTTAATTTCATGTTTCTGGATTTAATTAAAAAAAAAAAAAACTCAAAAAAGTTCCAATGAAGAAGAAAAATGTACCTAACTAAAAGTCTCTTTATTATTATATTCATGTTTCGATTTTAAAATCATAGAAAACTCAAAAAGTACCAGTTGGAGAACGAAAAAGTACTAAAAATATTACTTGCTATCGGGGTTGACTCATTCATGTCTGTTCTGTAACCGAGAAGCTTTTAAAACCGAATTTTGTGTTCTGCAAATCGAATTTTTATTTGAACGTTAAATTCAGAAAAATAAACATATTTTAAATGAAAAATAGTCTAAAATGTCCATAGCATTTATATGAAGTTACAATTGTATGTATTCAAAAACGCCAAAAATAATTAATTAATTTATTATAATAGAATTAAATTCGATTTATTTAAAAATATTAATTATATAACCACCGTAAAGTATTCCAGAATAACTTTCTGAGTCATTTAAACTATGTCGGTCCGTCTGTCTATATAAACATAGTAATCAAACTACAAATTACAATTTTTAAATTTGTTATTCTTGCTTCTTTTGACACTAGAACGAAGTATATTGGAAATATTTGAAATCTAATCATTACTTTAGTGAAGTGTATATAAATGTATAAATACATACATACATTTACTAGAAATTATGGCAAAGTAGTATTTAATAAACATTTGACAACTAAAATCTTTTAAAATTTGAAAAGATCCCAATACCTAAATTAATTGATAAAAACAATTGGTAAAAATACAGTCTAACATTAATATCACAGATATAACATTAATATTACCTGCGAATAATAACAGTTTCAATTAGTTACGTTTAAATTTACGTTAAAATTTAATGATTTTACAATCTGGCAACAATGTATACAATTTAATGAAAAAGTGGTGCCAAGTTTCCTAAGATTTATGCAACCCTGATTTTTTCTCTGCCGTCCACCATATTGGATTTTTTCTTACAAAAGTTGTGACGCGACGAAATTTCACTGCGTGTGAAAAAATTAATTTTAACGCGTTAAAAGTGTTTAATTCCCATTAAATTTATTAAAAAGTGTGCTCCAACGAACATTTTCTATGAAAAGTGTAAAATTTACAAAAATTATATAAAGAAAGTAAGTGAAAATTGCGTTTGAAAAAAGTGTTGGCGGAGTCTCATGAAAAATTTCTTAAAGCGAAAAAATATGTATCAAATTTGAAGAAGAAGCAAGCAATAAAAGCAAATGTAAAAAAGTCTCTGACGACAACGAGAAAATTTTTTGTCCAATTTCTTTTCGTTGTATAAAGCGTAAAACAAAATAAATACACAAATAATCTAAAATAAAATACAGAGAATAAAAGAAACGAAACCCCCGTAAATTACTCGGCGTCAGACAAAAGCTCTTTCTTTGTCTTGTATCAAACAAAAAAGTTAGTTTAAGGATTTTGTAACAAAAAAGGCAAATTAATACATAAATAAAATTGCCCATATATTATTGTAATTGTAATGAGTGTCGCTGCAATGACTATGGACGATCAGAGACCTTTGATGAACAGTTACGATAAAATGTCTAAACAATATGAACAAAATTTACATAATACAGCCGGGGGTGGCGCAGTTGTGGGAGGTAGTGGTAGTCTAATGGTAAATAATGCTGGTCTTCTATCGGGACCAGCTTCACCAACACCATCGGCTTCAGAGGAACCCACTACATCCCATCACAACACCCATCATGCGTCGTATCATCATACGTCGCATTCGCATCATCATCACCATCATCATTCGCATCATACGCATCAACAACAGCAGCAGCAACCGGCCTCAAGGCCTGCATCGCCACCTTTAACACAAACGCATCATCAGGATACAGTTGCTGCTGCTGCCGCAATCGCTGCTGCTGAACAGCGTCAACGTTTACTCGAAGGTATATTTTTAAAACAAGTTTTTCTCTATAAAATAAAAACAAAATAATATAAATACGAATTTGAAAAATGTTTTGAAATCTCAAAAGAAAAAAATTAAATCGCAAATATTAAAATAAAAAATTTACAAAAATCTAAAGAAATTCTATAAAGAATTCTTTTTAAATAAACTGTGTTTTCTTGTGTGTGTTTTGTGCGCCTAAATTCTGAAACTAAAAAAAAATTATTAAAATATTTTAAAACCTAAAGAAAGTTTTTTATAAATTTAATTTTAATTTTACTTTTTTCTTAATTTTTGGGTGTTGTGGTTATTTTTACATATAACATTCTTTTTTAAATAAGATTTTGCCTAGACTGTTACTAAGATGATAACATTTGTAGACTTTTATAAAATCTGAACAATTAGACAGCGAACACTCTTATTGACTCTTAAGAACTTTTCCAAAAACTAATAATATTAAAAAATCTTGTAAACACAATTTTTTAACCTTTAGCTTTAAGTTTATGTGAAAAAGAAGTGTTTTTATAAATAATACAAAATAATTTTTACATTACAAATGTAAAATATATAAAATGAAATAAATTAATAGAAAAATATATAAATATATTAAATGAAAGCAATATACAAAAAGAACTTTGTAATTTCAAATGAAAAAATATTCAAAAATGTGCCCTTTATAAACTTTATATAAAAAGTGAAAACAAAAAATCCTAAAAAAATGAAAAATAAACATTTGCACTAAAAAAGAAAATATACAAAAATAAAAGATTCCTATGTAAAAGGAATATGTAAAAAGAAATAAATAAAAATGTGTATAGTTTTTCACGTACGACTTCGCCTTATCGTTTATATATCTACATTGTTTGTTTTTGTTTTCTTTACTTTACGCGCCCTATAAAACTTCCCCCTTCACTTCGTCACTCTGTAAAATTCTCTATCTGAAATAAAGAAAAAAAAACATATTTTTTTTTTATATTTTATAACCACCCGGTAATAATCAATCGGTCTACGTGCGCGAGTGTGTGTATACTTACAAAAATATTTTCTCGTTTTCTTTTTTTATTCCATTCGAATAAAAAATAAATGAGAAATAAAACCATAATAAAAATAATGATAAAGTAAATTATAAGCAAAAGCCATAGAAATGAAATATAAAAGAAATAAAATAATAAAAAAAAACCAAAAATTATAAAAAAAATTTACGAATATAAGAGAAAAATAATATTAATAAATTCGTTATCCTAATAAAGTGTTGCGTGATTTAGAAATTATATATTGTAATATAAATTTGTATAAATTATGTAAATTAAAATAGTGTACTAATTTTAGTTTTAAAATCCACTTTTAAAATTATACTATAATGATATTCTTATCATTAATTAAAATATACATATATTGAAACTGTATTGTTAAAGTTTTTGTCGCTACCAAAACATCAAAAATTCAGTGCTTTGAGATGAGGTTGAAATTTAATTCTTTAAATAAATTGCCAATAAACTAGTCCATAAATTAGCCAGACGAAGAAGACGATTATTTCATAGACCATATAATAGACCATAGTTAGTTTATAGACTAACCAAGAAGGCAATATCCTGGGATAACCAGAACACCTATTGTCTCATTTTCTAACAAAAGCCTTAGATAAACAATGTTCAATTAAAATAGATTAGACTTCATATATACAGCCCAATAAATACCTTGGTTGCTTTTGCATAATTTCTTAGTCGTAGTTCAGTTCAGTTCAAGTTCATTTCTAGTTCAGTTCTAGTTCAGTTCCTGTTCAGTTCTAGTTCTGTTCTAATTCAGTTCTAGTTTAGTTCTAGTTCAGTTCTACTTAAGTTCTACTTCAGTTCTACTTCAGTTCTAGTTCAGTTCTAGTTCAGTTCTAGTTCAGTTCTAGTTCAGTTTTAGTTCAGTTCTAGTTCAGTTCTAGTTCAGTTCTAGTTC